TCAGCACACCCTCCACAAACAGCCCTGCATATGTTCTAGTGCTGTTTGGTTTTGCAGAATTTCTTGAGTTATATATTCAAATATATATATATGTACATACATACATATTAATAACCTGTTCGTTTATTCCCTCCCTTGCTTCTAGTTGTTATCAATGTACCTCACCCTTCACCTTTTCATTTGCTTTGTCTAGGACCCAGATGGCCAACTGTATTCAGAGTAAAATCAGAGCGATTAGGCTCTAAGAGTGTGCACTTCCACATGCTCCTGTCAATGAGTATACTTCATAGCACCTACTCTGATGGGGTAGGGTGCCCACCTCCATTATGTTCCAGAGATTTGAAGCACTGCACACAGGGCCTCTGGTTAAGTAAAGGCTGGTCCTGTCATCTTGCTCACAAGGGAGGGCCTCCAGCCCTCTTCCAGCCAGGGGAGGGAGGGGTGCAGATGACATCCCAGCAGCCCCTGCCCAGCACCCATCACGCCAGGAGGCACAGCACACACACCTAACTACAGCAGGGGCAGAGCCTCACCCAGACCAGGCCACGGGGTAAGTAAGCTGAGGGGAAGAGCAGGAGAGATGGTCATGAGGCATAAGAGACTAACCGTGGTTTTGCTGGTGCTGTTTCAAATGTTCTCAATATGATCTCACACGTGCAAAAGGAGAACTGGGAGAAATTTAAAAAAGAAAAAGCAGGGTAGCAACACAGCAGAACCTCAGCAGCAGGGAGACTGTGAAAGCCTTTCCTTTAAGAACATAATTTATCTTTTAAGTCAACATAGTTACTCCACAATACATTTAAATGCTGCCTACACTGCTGTCTATAACACCACCAGGTCTCAATCCTATAGAAACACTAGCTCCTCTGCACCAAGACATATACCAGAGTCCAGAGTTTGTAACACCAAACACAGCAAAGGCACTATGGCTGTCTTTTCAACAGGGGGGAGGCTAAATAAGTGATGGTATAGCCACACCTCGGGAGTACCATGCAGCCAAGGAAAAGAATTGAAGGTGCCTCATTAAACACAAGCCTAAGGTAGAACGTGTTTGGTAGGATCCTACATATGTGTTTTTTAAATGTCTATGCATATACACATGCATGCATACACGCAAATCCATTAAAGGGGTCTGGAAAGAGACATACCATTGGGTGTGTAATGCAGGGTAACACTGGTTAGCTGGGGAGGGGAAGACTTGCGCATTCTGTCCACATCTGTAGTTTCGCAACCAGACCCACTGGCAGTTTGGGACTGTGCAGAAGCAGGGATGGGAGACACCAGCCTGGATGTGTCCCAGACAAAATGCTGGCCCTCTGCCAACCCGCCTTTGCCCTGGGTCAAGAAGATCCCAGCCACTCACCCTCCACTCTGACAGGAGATCCCAGCCACTTACCCTCCACTCTGACAGGAGATCCCAGCCACTCACCCTCCACTCTCAAGGAAGCCGCACAAGGGAACACCTGCAAGGGGTCCAGGCAAGCAATGTGTCTGAAAATCATGCTCTAAAGCCAGAGGTCATGATGCAGGAGGAGGCCTAAATGCCTTGCCCTAAGACTCTCATTCATAACCAAATCCCTTGTTCAGTGGGTAAAGATAAATTCTGAACTATCCCCACCCACATTATCACACGAAATGGCTGAGGGAATGCAATTTCATTCCCCATCCCACCCCAAACAGGCCAGGCAGACTGCCAATGTCCCTTGGGGTCTGCAGGAGGGAGGGGCTGTGCACAGCCCAGTGCCCGCCTCTCTGGTTGGGCCCCCAGAGCTACTGAGATGGGCCTAGCCCAGGCAGCATGTAAGGAGATGTTTTGGTTCCCAATGCTGGAGGGGAAACAGTACACAGAGGTGTCTGAAAATAATTCTTTGTGGGAACAAATAGGTAAGAATGCATTCAGGGTATCTCTGCCAAGAAAGGCTGAGATGCCATTCCACCAGTGACCTGCCAAGCTCCACCATTCAGGACACAAGCAGGAATCACCAGATGAAGGGCCTGGTCAGCTCAGGGGGGCCTTCTGAGGGCCCTAGGCCTTTTCTTCTGCAGCCTTTGAATTTTCACATCAAAGCCCCTCAGCCTCCAAGAAAATCTGCTCCTGGTCTTGCTACTCCCCAAAGTGAGTCTTAACCAACTGCCCAGATCTGGGCTGAGAAGTTCTGATCAGCCAAATAGTAAGTGGCTTGAGCTGTAAAAATGTTTGTGTCTTTGTTTAATCATGCATTTGCTGTTAACAACAATTACCTAAATGTGACAGGGTATATCAGTCCCCAGGATGGCTATTAGGGGATGGGAGTGGGGAACCACACTGCCTCACAACTAACCAGGACAGGGAGTGCTCTGCATTCAGCTGGTGGGGGTATCAGAGCAGAGCCAGGGAAGGCAAGGTTGCCCCAGAGCCAAAGCTGACCCCTGTGCCTCCCCAAGGGTTTTCATACACATAGCCTTGTTTCCCACAGACCTTCCAAGTGGTCAGGGGTGACATCACCAAACTGTAGGGAGGTCTGGGGACCCTTTCCAGGTCATAGAGCTACGGAGCAAGCTGCCAATTGCCTTTTTAGCTAAAGTGGTTTTGATATTTACCCCTACTTCCAAGAAATCACTATTGGGGGTGGGAGGGTTTCCTACAGAAGTAGAAGGTCTAACATGACCTGGGCCACGGTCTGCAGAGACCCTCAGAATGCTGCTGGGATCTCACAAACCAAACCACAAGTCATCTCAGAGCCAAGGCCTGCCGCTCAGGTCTTCCCAGAATGGCCCAGCCTCTAGGAACTCCAGTTACTTATGTTCTGCATACCTGGACTTGGGCTGCAAATGGGCTTCCTGGAGGTGTCCTCTGCCTGAGGTTGAACCAGACTTCCTCTAGACACAGTTCTTGGTCACCTGAGGAACCATGTAACCTGTAGTGCTCAGCCAAATGTAGCATCTGGAACCTGGACAACTACATCTCCTGTGGCCCCAAGGGAAGGAATTCTGTACACTCCTGAGTTGGAGGTCAACATCCACCCTGGAGATGGGAACTAGGGTTTCTGTACCCCTGGAGAGCAGAGCCAGAACCCTGAGAATAAATAGGGCACACAGCAGGCAGTGTTGGTTCCATCATCTTTGCCCACCTTGGGTTTCCTGGCACCCCAGAGGAAATGGTTTCCACTCCAGTGCTAGAGGCCAGGGTCCCCAGCACCCCTGACCCAATCCTCTAGCCAAGAGGCCAGCTCAGGGTCACTAGAGCCTGGATCAGGGGGCGAGCCAACACAGAAGCCATCCCCCCAGCTGAGGTCTCCTCTGGGGCCGGACCCACCCATAATAGTGAGCCCGCTTGTCGGCCAGCCCCTCCGCAATTTGCATACATTGTGTTGCCAGGTGGGAGGCGACAATGAAACTGGCTGCGGAAAAATTTCCAATCGTTAAATCCCCTGTCTGTACGGGGCCTTGCTCCCCAATGAAGTCCTCAAGCCGAGCCACACCCCATACACTGCCCCCGCTCCCGTACTCAGGGTCCAAACCGGTACCGAACCCAGCTTGGTCCCGACCCCACAGCCACACCCACCACTGCAGTTCAGTTACCAAAAACCAACACCCCTACACTACAAACTCCACCCCGCATCAGGGACCACACACCCTTGTGACTCAGAATGCCTAGAAAGAACCCCGCCTTCACCCTCGATCACCCCCTGCCACGCGGTTTGGACCTGCCACAGCATGGGACCAGAAATGCGGCAGCGGCCTCCAAGGGGAAGGTTGTCTGAGATCCAACGGCCTTGACACCTGCAAACCTCGACAGCTCAGGTCCAAATTTACCAGGAGAAAGGGACCTTTCTGCTCTAAGGTCTTGACGCCTGCGTTTTTTAAACCAGTCTTTTAATCAGCTTCTGAACTACATTACAAACGAGAAGTCTAAACCTTTAGTAACTTGAAAAGTGTGTTAAGTATCTGGGTTTTTAACCTGCTCCGCATGTGCAATAACGTGTCACAAAAAAGTTCGCGTGAGCTCCGGGGAAATACACAATTTTTTAAACCAAACGGGGAGAGAAAGGTTGCCATCCATTAAAATGTTTCCACCTTTGTGTTTGAAAAAAACAAAAACAAAAACCCACTGATGACTCAACTACAAGGTCCGGGGCCCGCGAGACAGGAACTGCTGCCCTGGGGTCGGGGGGCTGGCAGCGGTCCACTGAGACCGCCCGCCCCCGCGCAGGTGCCGCCGCCCGCATCCGGCCTTTGGCAGGTGAGAGTGGGGCCGGGAAGAGGCGGCGCAGATCGCCTGGCAAGGGGGGCAGGCGCTCTTTTCAGGAGCAGCGCCGTGGGGTAAGGAGCCCCTCGAGCCGAGCGCGCCCCCGCCGGCCGGATGGGTGGGGCTCCCACAAAGAGCCCAGGGAGGGGAACCCGGACAGCCCCCTCCGTCGGCCGTCGCCGGCTCCGGTTTTGAATTAGACCTTAGGGCGCTGGAAAAATTACAGGGAAGAAGAGAGCGAAGAATGTGCCGAGGAACTGAAAGGAGCTCTGTCCCCGCGTGAACTTCGCCCGCCGCTCGCCCGGGGCGGGCCGGCCCCTCCTCCCTCGAGCGCGCGCCCCGGCGGGGGTGGGGCCGCGGCGAAGACAGTCCCCCCGCGGCTGCCGGGCGCCCGCGCTGCCCAGCACCCCAAACGTACCCTGCGGTCCCCACCCAGTTGGCTAGCACCTGCGCGCACCTCCCCCCCCCAGCCCGAGCGGGGTCTCAGCCCCCAGCCCCGGATGACGACATCCGCCCCCGCGGCCCCGCCCGAGCGCGCCCGAGGAGGGGGCGTGCCCCGCGGGGGCGCGGTCGCCGGGCGGGCGCCGGCTCCCAGCGCTGGGATCCGCCTCGCCCTCCGAACGGGGCCGAACGCAGGACCGAGTGGCCGGGGAAGGGGTGAGGCCCCGACCTTTCCAGCCCGACCGCACCTCGGGCCCGCGGCTCCGGGGGCGTGGCCGGACGGCTCGCGCGGACCCCCTTCCGCGCTGGGCGCCCGGGCCGCCCCACTGACCTGTGTGAGTTCTCAGGTGCGCCTTGAGGTGCGAGGATTTCCCGTAAACTTTCTCACAGCCCGCGTAGTGGCATTTGTGCTTTCTCTGCGGGGACTCGAGGTCGGCGCGACTTCGGCCCCGCCGGCCTCTTTGTCTGAAGCCGGGCTCGCCGCTCCCCGAGGGCCCCGGCTCTCGGTCGGGCTCCAGCCCTGCTTCCGGCTCGGGGTCGGGCTCGCTCCACGCGGGGCTGAGGGGCACGGCCGCTACGCCTCCGCCTCCGGGGGAAGCGGGCTCGGGAGCGGGTGGAGGTGCAGGCGGCAGGCGGCAGGGGGTCCTCGCCTTCCGGGCCGCCGCGCCCTCTCTGCGCTCCACCGCGGCCGGCGCCGGAGCTTGCTGGTTGAGGTCCGCCAGGATTCGCGCCACCACGAAGAGCGAGGCGCTGTCCTTGCCGTCGCGACGCTCCTCGACACGGGGCAGCGTGGCAGCAACAGCGGCGGCCGCGCCCTCGGGTCCGGGCTCCGGCCCCTCCCGCGGCCCGTGCACGACCGCGCGGCTTGACATGGACACGAGGCACTCAGCGGCGAAGTGGTCCACATAGGCGGCGGCTGCCATGCTGCGGACTCTGGCCACCCGGCAGGCGGCTCTGCTCGGCGCTGCGAGTCGTCAGCGATGCATCCGCACCCACGGCCTCGGGAGAGCTGTGGGGGGCGGGTGCGCGGCGCGCCCTCACCGCGGGCTGGGCTGGGCGCGCAGCCGCCTCTGCCGTCACCCGAGCGACTCCGCGTCCGCGAGACGCCCGCCCAGCCGGGCACCGAAGAGTGAGTGCATGGGGGGCGCGGACAGTGGGGTTCCCGACTGGCGTCAGGGGCGGCCTGTCCTATGGATGCCGAGCGGCGACGTTAGGGACAACCGCGCCAAGTTGCGGCCGCAGCCTCGCCGCGCATTGTGGCAGGCGGGACAGCAGCCGTGCGCGCCGCGGCTCGGTGTGGGCGGTCCTGCCCCGGTGGTGGGCGGGGCCGGGGCCACATCTGGACCCGACGTCAGCCCCCAGCCACATCCTGGCGGCGCAGGTTACTGGCGGTGGCGGCCGCGGAGAGCCGCGCTCACGGAGGGGGCGGGAACCCCGGAACGCGTGCCGGCCGCGCGCTCGCGCGTAGCGAGGAGGCGTGGCCGAGAGCAAGGGTGGGCGCCATTGGCCGGTAGATACGAGGCTGGCCCAATCCCGAAAATGGACGGTGCCTATCCAGCCTCAGGATCTGCGCACGCCAATAGGAGTGCCCCCTTGTCCGACTCGAGGAGGAGCGGATATTTGAGCCGGGAGTCGGGCACGCGGACGCATGACGTCCGAGGGCGGTGAACCGCTCCCCGGCCCTCCCCCACCACCGCTGCCGGAGCCCCGTGGGGCATTTTCCTTCCTGAGCTTTTGTATGGTGACTGCCTGCAGCCCTGGCGTAGAGGCGAGCGCTCGGGAGGGCTTCTCTTTGTCCCTCCAGGCTCGCCTGCGAGGGTGCCGGGGTGGGTGAGCCTCAGCGGGGCTCACCTCCCCTAGTCTTTTTCCTCCAGAGCGACGCTTGCAAGGCGAGGAGGCGTGTCCGCTCTGGCCCGGCTCTGAGCTGCTGGCTTCGCCGAGAGTGCCACACAACACTCTCCGCACCCCACCGCTGCCGAGCTCCCGGTGGCCGCGCCCCGAGACTCAGGCCGCTCGCCCTCTTCACGCTCTTCCGCTGCTGAGCTCCAGCCCTCCGTGCAGCCCGGCCAGGAGCGAGGTCACGGATGGGGCGAGGTCGCCCTCCCGCACCAGGGACCAGGAACTCCCGGGATCGGTCCCGGACGGCCGGGGATCCCGAGCGGTCCGCGCTGCCCTTGAGCCCAGATCAGCCGGAGCCGGACAGGCCGTAGGCTGGTGGGTAACCTGGCAGCGTGGGTGGCTTGTCCACCGCGTCCTGTGGTTTTGGCGGAGTGAACTACGTGCCTGGTCTGCCGGCGCCGCTGTTCAGGGAACGAAGGGCCCCTTCCTCCTCCTCCCCGCCCCAGGCCTTCTGCCAACTTCTCTAGGCTGCCCTTGTCCCACCCCGGTCGGAGAGGCTTCAAACGCCACCAACTGCGAGGACCCCGCCCACGGCGCCCCACCTACCCTGGCTGGGCCTCCCAGAGGAAACGCTCGGCCGCTCCCAGTCGGCTTTCTCCTTGCCCTGGCCCTGCTAACTTGCCCTTGATTCTCACCGGCGCCCTGCCCCTCACCCCTTCGGCCTTGCCATTCTTCTCCAGGCCTAGGCCATCACCGGAAAGGCCAGTGCATAACTTCCTAAGAAAGCAGCTCAGTAAGCCTCTTTCCGGACCCTTGCCGACAGCCCGACACAGAAATTAGGTCGGCTGGGTCTGCAGCCCCAGGTTCATTTGCCTTACTGGACCTTCGAACGGGTCAGCCACCCATGCGGTGAGCCTGGAGAGTGACGGCAGGTGGAACACTGGACCCTTGTGGACCTAAAAGAGGGGCGGGTGAGGCAAAGTTATTTATTCTATGCACAAAATTAGGAGCAGCCATTTCTCACCAAATTTATCTGGGGCCTAGGCAGAAAAAACTTCTTTTTCCAGGTAACCTAGGAGGAACTGAGATAGGCATTCTGGGTTGCATGTTAATGGTAAGCTGTGAATTGGCGTGGACTTTTGCGCGCCCTGGGTATCTAACTAAAACGTTAAAGTTTCCTCTCACTCATCAAGTTGGTGCCCCTTTGGAAGTCTACACACACAGTGTGATTATTTGGAGTGGGTTCTGTATGGGCCAGCTGGGTCACGTCCCTCTAAGAGGGTCTGTTCTAGGCAGGAAGAAATCCTTCCAGGCAGATTGTGTTGATGACATTTAAGAGATTTGTGTTCTGACCAAATGATGATTCAGAATGTTCCTCCAGTCCCACCACGTGTCACAATCAGTAACTCTCATCAAGAATGGAGCTGGCCCTACAATGACTTACTAGCCACACCCCCTCCCCAACCTTCCCAAGCCAGTGGGATACTGCCTAGTGTTCAAGGTTCTACATCTGCCTGCTTTCTTTATGATCCCTGCTGGGACACACCAGCCTGCGCACACTGGCAGACCCCCTAGCAGCATGCACTGTTCGAGGCATAGGGCCACGGCCATGGACTAGGCACCTGCCCTGGGTGAGAGGACTACACCCTGTGTCAAGGATTCTCTCCACTGGCACATACCCCACCCCAGTCCAAAGCCCAAAACGGCCCACAGGCTTCCCTGGAAGTGCATCCTCCATGAGGGTTTCACCTATGCCCCTGTGTTTTGGTGATTGTTCAGGAAGCCTCAGTGCTCTGCATCCTTTATCCCAACCCCATGTTTTCCTTGCTAAGTGGAATTTTGACAGAGGTTGTTTATGTATGCATAAGGGTGGGGTGCGGATCACCCGTCAGGTGGAACAGAATAAACGAGAGCAAGGCAGGGATGGTCAGGTGAGAGCAAGTGGATGGAGATGTGAGTGGAAGGTAAAGAGGCAAAGTCCGAAAAGGTGGCTGATTTTCTGGTATAGGTGGTGGACTGACAGTATGTGTGGACTGTTTTCTGGAGCCTCCTAAAACAACAGTAAGTTTGTATATTGTAAAGCACAAATCAGCAAGGATGGAGAAAGCAAGGGAGGAAATAACAGCAATGCAATTTTGGAAGCTAAAAGGCTTAGCAGAAATGAAAAAATGAAATCCTGAAAAGATAGCCAGGAAACAAGGCCCAGAACGATCTCCGTGAAATCTCTACAAGGATCACAAATGGATGGCACCAGGCACCTCTGGACTTGGCTGTGAATGGAGAGCTAAAATAATAATTGGTTGAAAGTCTGGTTGAGAAAGGCTCAGATGCCCGGAGTCCCTCCCCAGTTCTTTGCAAACAAAACAAAAGACAGGATGTTTATGATCTGAAGAAGGTGAAAGGGAGCATCTGGGGTTGTGAGATAACAAACACAATTAAGGGCAGAGGTACCTTAACAGGTGTAGGGGGTTAAATGAACATACAGATATTGGATGCTGAGACCACTGCCAAACTCCCTTTCTGGGATTTTAGAATGCAGGCAGCCAGGAGAATGGAAGGGTCTTTCCTGGGGCATCAGACCAGGCAAAGGGGAACACCTAAACCTTTTGACATCTGTGGTGGTTCAATTAAGCCTGTTCACCCTAGAGTGAAGGCCACAGTTTAATGACCCTGTGCATGTGTACAGAGCTTCTAATCAGCCTTTCACAGGCAGCCAAAGCTGACCTGGCATCTCAGGAAAGCATGTTATCATGAAATGTAAAGCCCTAAGATATTTTTTTAAAAAGAATTTGGAGGAAACAGGCTGTAGAGAAAAGAACACATCAACCTAACTATCAATAATATCAGAGAAATTGAAGAAGATAGTGCAACCCATGAGGGGATGATACATATAAAGAAACATCCAGAAAACAAACAAGAAGAGTTCTTGGAAATTTAAAATACAGTCACAGAAATGAAAAAAAAAAGAACCTCAAGAAGAGGGAGTGGAAGATAAAGTTGAGGAAACTTTTATGAAAGAAGAACAAAAAAAGAACCCCCAAAATGGGAAATAGGAGAGAAAAAGTAAAAATGAGAGGACCATCCAGAAAGCCCGTTGATTAAATAACAGGAACCCTCAAAGAGTGGTCAGAGAAAACATGCGGGTTGGGGATCATCCATGAATTAATCCAAGAAAAGGCTCCACTACAGAAGAATGTGTTGAAAGGGCCCAGCACAATGGGAAAAGATAGACCTCCTCCCAGGCATGTCATTATTGAAGTCCAACAAAATAGGGACAGATTCCTGACATTACAAGCAGGTCACATATAGAAGCTGCTCCATCAACCCATGCTGTGCTGTGGGCCTCTCCATAGCAAAAAGTAGAAGTTAGGCAGGGGGGAAATCTAAAAGAAAATTATTTTCCAGTTAGCACCCAGCCAAAATATAAACCAAGTATTTTTAGATGCATGAGGTCTCAAAAAATTTACCTCCCATGCATCCTATCTCATGGTAGGAAGCTACCAGAGGTAATGCTGCCAAAATGAAGTCAGCCATGAAAGAGGGAGACATGTGATCCAGGAAACAGACATTCATCACAGGAGAGGCACAGAGGGCCAGCAGGCCCAGCTAGAGCATGTCACATCTCTAGGAGGACACATCTTCAGGAGATGAAATGGGTAAAATCACTGTCAGTCAGGAGAGGCTGGGCCATGCTATAGCACAAACCTGCAAATCTCAAAGGTTTATTTCTGGCCACACCATGAGTCCATAGTGAGGCGCCTGGGTTGATGGAGCAGCTTCTATCTAGAACAGGACGGCCACCATGGCAGAAGGAGAGCAAGTGCATCAGACCCAGGGATGTCACTCATTCTTTCTCTCCTGCACACAAATTTTGCCCTCCCCGAGGGGGCCTCACCCACTCCCAAAAACCTTTAAAATCTGGATCTAAAGGCCCAGAGATAGAGAAATCAGAGATGAAGATGGCAGGGCTTTGAGGCGAGAGCGATTCTGCAGTGGCCAGCTCCGGGACCTCTGTGGTGGGCTGAGCGGTTTCTTTATGTGTGTGGCTCACGTGACTGGCTCATGTGCTTCTCCCTGGGCTGGAGATCTAGGACCTAAAGGTAAGTTCTCTGCACCACCAGCCCCATTCCCAGCCCACTCTCAGTCCCAATACACTGTGGTAGAAAGGGACAGAATAACCCAACAGCCCAATACAGAAAGGGGAGGAGTGGGAGCTATCCAGCAGACAGTGTCCTTAGCAATCCTGAAATCTTGTAGGGCAAATACTGCCCCTGTCCTGGGGTGTGAGTGTTCCTTGTATAGTGCCAGTCCTGCCCCCTGAAAAGGCCTGACCACCCTACTCTTCTATGGGGCCTTGCTCCACCCTTAGGGCGGGGGATTTGGGGGGCTCTTCCTTTGCCATCCTCCTCCTTGGCTGCAATGGGGAGGGGATGGCATTGAGACTGTATCCTCCTTGGGGGATGGGCATCCCCAGCCCACTTCTGGCCTATAGAAGTTCGGAGATTAAGGGTTATCTTAAATTCCAGCTACAAACTTTATGAATCCTTCTACATGGCTTCTTTGGCACTACCTCATTTCTCAAAAAGTTACATAATTTCTTAGCTGATCTGTTTGATTCCACTTAGTTTCATTGTCAGTAACCACTCACAGCATTTTTCAAGACATGCTTCTCTCTCAGCTGCAATTTCTTTGAGCCTCTTGGTCTTTCATGGTAGAGAAACACCCTTACATCTCTTTTTTCTACACCTTCTGAGTTATCACAGGTGACAATTTACCAAGTAT